GTTCAAGTTATGTCCAACTTAGAATTGCAATATGGGGACACCTTGCCCTCTATTAACTTATATAAAGATGTAAAGTGAAGGGACCAAGAATTAAATCAATGTGATAAAGAAAATGTTGAATGCAGTTTTTAAGTTTATAGAGGTTGCCACTTTAAATTACGAATTGAACAATTTAGGTTGTGGAATTTAAAAAGCCGGTTCTGGGTCAACTTTTTAAAAACCACTGAGAAAATGTAAATGGTTAATGAAATAAATTTTATTTAAAAAGAGAATTTACAGAGTTCACTTTTATGTGAACTTTAAAATGCTGAATGACGAGCCAGATAATTTTGTCCAGCCAAACAGTGTTTAAATGCTGCGTTAACAGCCGGTTAAGTGGTGTTTTCCCACTCCGATCACCGTGACTGGGTCTCGGGATTGTGGGTGGTCAGTGGACCCAATCTATCCTGCTCATATAACGCCATTGATATCGATGACACGCTGACGCTGCGCTGTCAAGGCATGTCGGTCATTAATCTTCGCCTTCCACGCAAATTCCGCGCAGAAGGCCAACAAAGGCGGGAATAGAGGACGGCATGTGTGATGATGGTCGAGTGTGTCCGTGTGGCCAAGTATTTAGGCAAATGTCGCCAGCTCAAGCAATGGAAACTGGGGCCTCCCCATCCGCGCTGGACGATGGACGATGGACGATGGCCGATGGACAATGGACGTGGTAACAATGACAGCGATGGCCAGTGGTTTCAAGAGCAGCGGCAAAAACAGCAGTTAAGGGATGCCAACTGCAACGGCTGTCACTTTTGCTCCATCTCATTGATACCCTGTAGAGTTCACTCTGTGCTCAGATCTTGATTGGTGCAAGCCAATATTTATTTCACTATTTAGAATGCTAGTTGATTATTATTCAAAGCGGTTTAGCAGAACCAGAATACATGAGAAGAATTCTATTGTTTACTACTTCAATTGTCATGCCACCATAAACGGCACCAAAAAAAATGAAATTTTCTTTGTTGATTTTATGGAGAAATTTTCAACTATGTATAGAACATATTTTTGAGATATTAACACACTAGAATGGAAACTTATTCACTAACTCTAAGGTGACTTTATTATTTATTTATTATTTGCTCATATATTTTGCATTTATACAAATAAGGTAAATTTCAAAAAATATTTCTAAGCATTGAATATTTTAAAATTGAAATGACAGAAAAGAACCAAACCTTCTGTATGGTATTGTCTATTATTATTCGAATTTAAGATATTTTAATAATATAAACTTTTTTCAAAAAGAAAATCCCAAAGTTGATTAGTTCATTAACTTAAGAGGTTTATTCATGCATGTCCTTTTCTTTAGAAAACTTGGTGCGTTGGCCCTTTGGATTTAAGGGATATCACCATTTCGTGGTGCATTGATCCTTGGTCTTTTCAAAATGTTCCTGCGGCTTTGTTTGGTTTTGTTTTGGGCCGTTGTCTGCGCCTTTTTGACCCACATAGACGTGAAATGTTTCGCTTGACTGGACACCACAGTGTGACGTGTGGGTGGATTTGGGTGGTTTTGGGTGGTTTGCTCTGGTTGTGGATGTGGCTCTGGGTGGCCTAAGTGGTGCTGCTGGCGGTGGTGGTGGTGATGGTGATGGTGGTGGCTCGCCGGGAAAAAGGGACATTGAGAGTGCCATGGCTCGCTGCACTCGGCTGGCTGCGACTGCTTGTCCTGTATTGGCAGTGCAATTATACAAATTAATGCCGGAGACAAAAAGCTCACAGATTGCGATGCTCGCAGCGATGGCATTGTGCTTGCGTATTTATCGCGGCGTTTCCCAATGCGAACGGCGCTCGTAATTGAAACATCTCGCCATTACACAATCGAACAACGGGTGGCTCATCAGCAATGGCAATCGATGATTGCCCCTGCATCGGGAATTGACTTTGAACACTGAGCCAAACGCAATAAAATGCGAGATTGGGGATCACTTTCAGACTGAGTCTGCAGGAGTCGCTGTCACTGATTGCAGCTGCCATTGCTGTGCCAGGAATAATGATTTATTTTGGAGGCTAACCAAGATCCTATGACCTGAATCCGGCGAGGTGCCTGAATATTGGAGGCCTTATCCTCCGCACAACAATTTGTTTGTTAATTTAACCTTAGATTTCTAGACTTTCGTTGCAGTGCTTTTGCAAATTTGAAAATTTTAAAATAAATTTAATAATAAGGTATTTTTTATAATATTTATTTTAAAGCAAGTTTTGTACTTCACTGTAAATGGGTTCTGGTGACCCAGATTAATAAACACAGTGCTGAAACAGACCCAGTATTTATACCTCGCAAATAAGGCCACTTTAAACTTTTATTTTTCTATTTTTCACTCCTATTAAATAATATCTGCAATAAAATGTTTACTTACTTTGGCGATAAATTTACCGAATTCGAGTTGATAAACACACAAGTACCTGCAAATAAATGTGACTTTAATGACCAAAGAGTAAGTACGTATTTTTCCCCGTGGAGTGCCCCACAACTCCGTTCGTCCTTTTAACTTATTGTGTGCTTCCCCGGAATTGGCAATGCCAAAACAAGTGGCGCCATCTCCAGCATGATAATGCTTTTACTGACCTCCTCCTTCGCCGAAAACCCCGCTGTGCATTTGTACATTTGTGCATTTGTGCGTTTGTTCAATTGTGAATTTGTGCATTTGTACAGTTGTTCTGAAGGTTGGCTGCACTGTCACCTCCCCCCGATCTCCACTTCGATTTGGGGAGCCCAACTGGCTCTCCTTGGCGGAGGTTTCCCAGTTGACAGACGGAAAATGCTAGCAATTTCCCAGCGTCGCCTTGGTTGCGAAACCTCGGTGTATTTGCTCCCAGGCGGACAGCCAGCTGTGGTCCATTACATAACGCTCCCTGGCCCGCTCTACTACTACACTTGGAGCAATTAAGGGCAGCCCATTAATAAGTTTGATCATCTATAAACCTATATTCATGAATTCTCCATATAAAAATAAAAACATAATGCGCAATTGTTAATTCCAAGTTTATCTTAACTATTTTGTAAAATGAATATTTTGATAAACGATATGATTGTTTATATTTCAATTAATTAATTTTAGCTTCTTTCCAATACTTTTTTACATTGCAAGGTAACTATTTAATTGTATTATAGTTTATAGTTCATCATTCGCTTTAAGCCAATATTAAACCTCTAAGAACTTTTCGTAATTTATGACAAAATCTAAAACATAATCAAATATACCAAAACTATAAATATTATTTTAATAATAATTAGTTTTACAAAAGTATGCTTGTATTCAAATAATATTTAAGCGATATTTAACAATAATGTTAAGTTTTATCAAATTTAGCTGGAACATAATTCAAAGTTTAATTAAATCTAACATTTCAGGAGTTGTATTAAATCATTCCCATGAATTTGATTAGAGAACATTTCTCTCAGTGTTTATATCTATCCCTCGTCACGACAACGCACAAAGTGCGCATAAATTGCAAACGACCCACAAAAAACTTTTGGCCAGCAAAATGGCTTAGATCAGAAATCACAAATCAAACACTCGCAAAAAGGCCTCCCAGTCCAAAAAATACGAGCCCACTGCTGCCTTTCGAAATGCGGCGCAATCAGCGCCAGGTTTTGCAGGTCCTCAGGCTTCAGCTCCAAACTCTATGCCCCCGGTTCCAACGGTTCCAATCTCCGTCTCAGGGGCTCCCACATCGGCTCGTGGTTATAGAGCTCCGATCCGATCCAATCCAATTTCCGCGCCCATTTGGCGGCTGCTGCGTGAGAACTAGCAAAAAAGTCAAATGGAAACAGGGGAATTTGGTATTCGCTTGGTTAAATACCCACTATTAATTACAGACCCTGTGATTAAATTATTTATAATTAATATTTCTTAAATACGAACATCCAAAAATGTTGAGGGAACAAGAACCTTCTTGTTAAAAACCACAGATTATCTTACCTTATTTACAATTATCGTAAAATGTAATTGTATGCTACCGAAATTAAAACTTCCAAAATAGAATAAAAAGATTGCAATACTAGTAATAATAAAGTGTTTTTATATTTTGTTATTTATGAACTCTATTTAGAAAAGGAAAAACTTTTCAAATATTCTTAGTGAGATTAAATGTGTTTTGAGTACGTAAATCCATTAGCTAAATAATTTATAATGGAGCCTTAGTTCCTCTGCAAACACATTTACCTAATTAAAGAGCCGTCTAGAGTGTAAGCCAAGAATCCCACTCAAAGCCTCAAATGCGGGGTAAGAAAAATCTGAAAAACCTAAAAAAAAGTTAAACGCAAAATGTCTGCAGACTGGGCTTAAAAATGTGCAACGCACCACAACGGGTGTGGTGGCGTTTGTAAATTCGAGGGGGCCATTAATAAACCACTCGACAGGAGCCACGTGAATTTATTTTTTGTTTCTTTTTTAGTTTCGGAGGTGGAGGAGGGTGTTTTGGCCTGGAAACGAGAACAAGTCGAAGACTCCTCCGTCGGTGGTTCACTGACCAAAAAAACAAATGCAATCATTTCAGGTGGTTCAGTGGGTTCACCTTGTCCGCTGGCATTTCCTTTTGCCGCATTCGAACGACAAGTGCGGACAAATTTCCAATTAAACAATCGTTGCGATTAACACGAAAGGCGATCTCTGCCATGGGCGGACCCAAAAAATGGGGGAGGGGGTTAAGAGGGGGCGGGGCAGTTGCGTAGAGCGGCGCGCCTGCGCTGCTGCCTGCTTTGCCAACTGATGAAAACCCGTTCTCATGGCTGCCGTCGCCTTTTTTTTGTTTTTGTTTTTCCAACGATTTTCATTTTCATTTACTTTTATTTTGTTTTTGTCTTGCCTTTTTTTTTGCACCATATTTTGAGAGCAAACCGGCGACGGCGGCCGTATAAATAGGCCCAAAGAACGGCGAACCGAGACAGTTACCAATCGCAATCCAATCGAATTGAGTCGCATTTTTTTAAGTGAACCACTGTAACAATAACAATGGCTTTCAAGGTGCGTGAAGTGTGCCCATCGCCGACACTCCTGACAGACTGACATCGAAAAAAAAAACAGACACAAAAAAAAAGGAGTCAGGAGCTGGGATACAAGTTGCCTGCAGTTGTTATCCTTTCACCCGTCACTCATCCTTTGTCGGCTATTTCCCTTTTGCCGTCAGGATAACATTGTTGGGCTTCTGGCTTCTGCATTTTGCATTCTGGCTCCTGTCTCCTGTCTCCTTACTCCTTTTCTCCTGTTCTCCTGCCTTCTGGCATCCTGGCCAGGCCACACAATTCAAAGTGCATTGCAATCTCGGCTCGATTCGCAATTTAAATTCAATGTCCAAGGCAATGAAAACGAGAGCAAGACCAACACGCATGCTAATTGTGCGATTGTCAAGTGGCTGCTGATTGGGCGGCCCAAATCTGGGTCACTTTCGGCCACAAATAGGCTGGTAATAGGCCAAGAAATATGAGGCAGAGACAGCTGGTAAATGGTAATGAGGACGAAAATTTTAAAGGGCTAGAAAAGTAAGGCATTGCATCACAGTTTAAAATGAAAAGAAGGAAAGCTTTATTTATTTATTTTATTTGTTTTAGCTCAATAGAAATATAAGAAAAGGATTTTAAGTTTGAAGTACTTATCTTTGGTTATATAGTATATCCTTTTGATAAATTAAAAGTAGTACGTACTTCCATTAAACTTACCAATATGTTATTGTGAAGTTTCTGGGAATCATTAGACTCTTCATCGCATAACTTATATATTTGTTTATCAGTTTCCAATGCATCATGATGCTCCAGTAGTTCGATATTATGTTTTGCCTTTCAAGGATAATTTGTTTTTCCCCCATTTGCATACGGTTTGCATATCATCTGAGGTTATATTATATTTAACCTGTTCTTGTATCGGACAGCCTTGTGTGTCTTTCGATTAAGCGATAGACATCGCTTTCAAGGTTGCAAGCCAAACAGCTGCCAGAGGGTAACTTTGCGAACTTAATTAAAAGTTAGTTCGCCTGCAATTTCCGTTCGGAGCCCCGTAACAGATATCTAGATATTTCGAGATGTAAACGAACTAATGTTACCACATAAATATTACGCATTCGCAGGTTGTTCTCTGCGTTGTTTTGCTGGCGATGATCGCCGGCGGTGAGGCAAAGCCGGGCGGTCCAGCTGCGTATTCGATCAGTGCCCCCAGCGTGGACCACGCCTCCGTCGGCAGCAGCCAGGAGCACACGGTCAAAGGTCACTACGGCCAGTCCTCGCAATCGGACTACGCCAGCCAGGTCCAAACAGCCCACTCGCAGTCGCACGTTCAGCGATCGAGCATCAGCAACGATGCCGGATTGGCGCCAGTCGCCGCTCATGGATACGCAGGTGAGTCCCCAAAATCCACTCGAATCCCCCCCGAATCCACAGCAGTCACTAGACACCTGCACTACCAACCAGCACAAGCTCACACCACTCACTGAACCCACTTTGAACCCCAATTGCACGTAGATGCAGCGATGGCACAGGTTCAAATTAACCACAGAGTAGGAAAAAGTTTTTTAGGGAAACCCCAATATCACTCTCCCTGAAACCTCATATTTGCAATGCAAAATGTATAAATAAAAAGCATTTAGCGGTTTTATTAAGCACGAAACCATGTTTTTGCAAATACAACATTCATTCATGTAAATATCTTTCTATTTGCATAACATAAAACACTTAGTCTAATTTAAACCACAAATAGACAACAGTTTTGGGCAACTCTGAAAAAAAAACAAAATAAAACACGCTGAAATGTGATATTTGCAATGCAAAATTTTTCAAAAATAAATATTCCCTAATTGTACACTGTTAAGCATATAGGAAAATTTTAATCACATAAAAAACTTTATTTACCATGAAACCATAAACATGCAATACAAAATTATTTATAAATGAATATTTCGCTGTTCATGAAATATTAAGCATTTGACCAAACTTTTACAACAATTAGAGAAAATTCTTAAGAAAATCTCAGTATCACTCACCATGAAACCGTATATTTGCAATACAAAAATATTTAGGAAAAACATTTTTATTTACCGTGAAACCATATACAAAATTATAAATATACAAATTTAAAACAATTCCTTAGTATTCAGCTGGATTTAAGCGAATTCTTTAATCTTCAGCACAATTTTTTCTACTTGAAGTGAGTTAACTTCTAATTGCAAAACTTATAAACTTATTTACATGAGAAAAGACCCGCGGTTTATATAAATGATTAGCTTCAAAAAATATTTTTATTTACAAACGTCATGTGTGAAGTGCAAATTAATTAAAGATATAGTTGTTTCGGTGTTTGAAGAAAAAATATTGAGATGTTTGCGCGAACAGTTTAGACTTATGAAATTTTTTAATACAATTAAATCCAGCAATAAAACAACAGAAAATTGGGTCGAATCAATATTAAATACCTTGAATTATTTTTAAATATTAGGTCAATAAAAATTCTTTGTATGTATATTATTTTTTTTTAAAGAGTTTACGTATGTTATTAAAATGTTATCAGGAATTTTTTTTAATACTTTTAACCTCTTACAAAATACCTATGAGCCTGCCATTGCTGCTTAGTTGATTGTTAACACTTTTAACCCGAAAATGTAAATGAAAAACCGAAGCTGCTCCGGCCCACGCGATTGCCACGCCCACTTACTCGCTGGGTTACACCGGCCACTCGGCGCCCGCCCAAATCCAGGGCGTGGCCTACGGCGGACACTATGCGGCCACGGCTCCGGCTGTCCAGATTTCCGGACTGGGACACCTGGGGCACTCGCTTGGACACTCGATTGGCATTGGCCACTCCTTGGGATTGGGTGGATACGGGGGCTATGGATACGGCGGATACGGCGGATATGGATCCTATAGTGCTGCTCCGGCAATTTCCCATGGATATCTGGCTCATGCTCCCATCGCCGCTGCTCCGGTTTTGAAGTACGCCGCTGCTCCTTCGTACGGTAGGTGACCAGGATCCAGGATCAAGGATTCAAGATCCGGAATTCAAAGTCCAGAAATCGGATTCTATGCTCCCAGAACTAACCCGCTAATCCCCACTTTTTCCCCCGCTCTAACCCCCACTCTTTGCACTCTTCGTACGCTTCTGTTTTCCCCAGCGATTCTCAACTAATTTTGCCACGAGTTTTTCCAGTGCGAAAGCAGAAAAAAAATACTCAGAACTTTATTGTGTTTTCGCCCTGCTGCCCAAGTGCACTTGGCAAAAACAAACTTTGCTCTGGGTGAAAAATAAATATAAAGCTGAAGTTTTGCTCCTTTTTTCCGTGAGATATAGGATAGTGTTGGTTCCAAGCATCTTATAGATCCTTCAGATACAGCGAGCTGTGGGCAACCCAAGGGGAACACTTTCAGGGAAATTGTCTTAAGTTTAAGCTTGAATAGCGGAAGGTGGGTGTGAAAACAAGACTGAGATCGTGGTGTGATAAAGTATTAAATCAAAAGTCAAGTCGAGGTTAAAGTCCTCAGAGATCATAGATGATTCTATTGTTCGTAAGCTTCTGTTGAGCCTTAGGCTCAATCGATAAATTCTGTAACATCCCACGCAGAGCTCACAAAAAGGATAATCGGTTTTGAGTCCGTCCGAAATCGATTTGTCTTGCTAGAAAACAGATATAACTGCTCGTGGGGTGTGGGAATTCGTCGGTGAGTGTAATCAATCATTCAACGCCGTCGGGCCTATTCCCTTTTAAAGAGCTTTAAAGCCTCGGTCACGACGTGTTTTACACACCACGAATGTTGGTTAAACTGCATTCCAGGGCTGCTGATTCAGCTGGCCAAGTCAGCGAGTCACCCAATCACCGAATCCGCCAGTCACCGTTCCCGTTCACTTCGGTGTCACTTGATTGATGTTCAGCAAAGCCTTTGGGTTTTGTGCATAGCCAGTGCACTGAAACAAATAGTATTCCAGTTGATTACGCTCTATTTTGGTACTGCGTATACTTATTAATACCACATGACGTATACTTGATATTTACTTACTGGCCCAGAACCTTCTTCCATGATGAATAGAGTGCACTTAGAAAAATATTAGTGGATTAAAAACAAATAATATTAAATAATATTAATATTGAGTTCATTTCAAATGGGGAGTTCATTTATTATTTTTGAAATACGTATTATGTTTTTGGAAAAACCCAACTGTCGATTAACCAAAAATCAATTCTCTAAAAATTATGTAAATTTAAAAATTTAAATAGCGTAAAATAAATTTTGTAGATTAATTTGTCTTTTGAAAGGTTTTGACCTTTTTTTTACCAAGGATATAATCAATGGAGTTATTCATCCAGTTTTATAGAGATTTCAGGTGCACTTTCAAAACGTTTTTAGGGAATTAATAACCATAAAATATTAGTGAAGAAATTACTGATATTGTTTGGCAGTGTGGAGGGATTCTGAGCCACCGGCCTGGTGGGTGGGCGATGGTCAGGCCAATGTCAGGTGGTTGCCGTTGACAACCTTTAAGTGGCCCAGCGGGCGGGGGAGCTGTGGGCCCGGCGTATTGTCCAAACAATGGAGACGATGCTAATTTGGGGTAGCTCCATCTGTGGGCCCCACGGCGACCATCTCTCTTTCAGCCAATCCGGGCAATCTGTCTCTGTCTATCTGCCTCCTGTGTCTCTTGGAACGCTTTGTCTGTTTGCATAAAATCCTGCTAACTTTATGTCTCTGTGTGTGTGTGTGTGCTATTCCACAGCTCCTGGTATCATTGGACACGGCATTGGACTGGCCGCCCCCGCCTACGCCGCTCCTGCCTACGCTACGCATCTGGCCGCTCCCGTAGTGAAGTGAGTATCCGGCTCGTAGGACCATATTAATAAGGTTGCCCTCATAATCGCTGTTCTTGTTGTTTTCCAGGGCTGCCGTCGCCGCTCCCGCCCTCGTTCATACATCGGTCTCGGGCCATGGCATTCACTATGGCTACTAGGGGAACCAGCGCCCACTTTCAACCTTCCCCGCCCCTCCTAGAGCCAACGTCCCCCCAAGAAGCGAAGTACACTAATAGGAACAATAATACCCAGAGCGTGTCGGTAGCTGCTCGCCTTAATTAAAACTCAATTTGTTAACTGCACCGAGAGCCTGGACACGCTGACCTATGAACTGTGTGGCATGCCGGTGGTATGACCATTTGACCACACAACCAACTGACCAGCTAACCGAACACCTGACCCCCTGACCCCTAACCTGTAAAAAAAAAGGGAGGAACATGGGGGATGCAGCGTACCGTTTTTATTGTCGTGTTTCTTTGGCCCCAGAGCTTAAAACCCCCACACATATATCCCCAATATCCCCATCATCCCGCCAAACCGAATGCTGAATGTGTGTGTTTTTTTTTTATCGCGGTTGAATTTACGTTGTATTTAAACTTATTTTGTAAACTGAAACGAAATGCATGTGGAAATGTTGGAAAAAAATAAACTCATTGTTATAACTGACTGGCGAAAAATGGAAGTGGAAGGGGAAGGGGGATGGGGAGCTGGCCTGTCGCAATATGATATACGGTATGAATACGTTGCAAGGACTGCAGTGCTCCGCTTTTCTTTTTTTTGGCCATGATGCGGAGCAGAAGCAGGCCGAGATTTATTTGCCACGCATCAGTTGATCAGCATACTTTATGGCGCATAACACGACACTAGCGTTTCATAAGCGTAAGTTCCAGCAAACAAATAAAAAGGCGACAGCTGCACTTTCCCATAATCGCAGTACATTCTTTACCGCCATGAAACGCACTGTGCGACCATAAATATATGGCGAATTGAGCCCACCAAATGCCAAGTGAAAGTGTGTAAAGCCCCGGAAAAAAAACAGAAAAAACCAATTTACGTCACATCGGGCATCGCACATGGCCCGAAATAGATGATAACCCGTTTATTTCGGTCCCGGCCTAAAATATGGTCTAGAACAAAGATCCACAGCAATTCGGCGGCATTAAAAATGTCACTGAGTCCGTGGGAGAGTGAAAGTCAGAGTTGGCCGGCTAAGCAGGCCAAAGTTGACTGATGGGCCTGACCCGCGAAGGACGACAGCTTTAAGAGCCATCAACAAGGATAACTCTGAGCCAGGATAACTGCAGCAGCAACAGAAGCATCAGCTGGAGAGCAAATGCAAAGTGTAAATAAACCTCTCTCTGTGCGAGTTGTGTGTTAATTAAAGTGGCTTTTTTTCCGTATTCATCATAAATGCAAAAGATACGTAAGTGTAATGGTAAAAGCAACAGAAAGTTCCGCGAATCGAAAATCCACTTGGGTTTTTTATGTCGTAGAATTCCTATTTAGATTCTTTAAAACTTCCTTTTTTTAAATATTATAACAAGAACTAGAATTGGTACGAAATAAAATGAATTGCATAGTAATTTTTTAGCTTGACTATAATAGTGCCTTGTTTTTAACTTTGTAATACTTTTTCTTATTATTAAAAGGTTATGGTACTATCCATAATTTAATAAATATTTATAAATATTTTTATGTACATAAATATCTTCATGTGTTAAATATCTCTTTTTATTAATAAAATGGTTTTGAGGCATAACTATTTTTATCACTTAAAACCTAGTTTAATAAATAAGTTACTTCCCATATATAAAGAACATATATATTATTAAAATATTTTTCCATATGTAACTTTACTAGATTATTTGATATGTGTATATTTCATATCAAAACATTTTTATAGTTTCCTGTTTATTTTTGGCGTTAGCCAAACACTCAACTCGCGATTGTCAACGCTTTGCCTCTCGGGGGAAAACAAGGAACTTCCTAATAATGCGGCTAATTAGTAGGTTAGAGTGGAGTAAACGTGTTGCAGTTTTTCCGCTTTTCCGCAGCATTTCCCAGAAGACCGGTGGCCGCAGGTGGGCGAATCACCATATTCGAAAGCGAAATCGCTGTTTGTCTTTGTATCTGAATGCTGCGCTTTGTTTTGCCAGTTCGTTGGGGGAAATGAACAGGATGCGGTCCTGCGTACAAACATAGCCACACACACACACCCACATAGCACTACACATAGTCACACGACATCGACACACACACCCACACACACACACATGTGTCCCATTGAAGGATACATGGACAGGATACAAGGCACGCACACGTGGGCTTATTTAGTAACTATATTTGCTCTGCGTCTCATTCGGCTTGTTTTCCCATTTCTTTTCCTCTTGCCTTGTTTACTTTTTTTGCCCGTTTGTTTGTGTTTTTGGCTGGCCGACACTAAATTGGAATTTTTCATGCAAATATGTAAGTCGAGGAGTTGGAGATCTATATCCCACCCGCTTTCCACTCGCTTTTTGCGTCGTTACTTCAATTAAAGGGCAGTCTGCAAATTGAATTTGGCTCGAATGCACGGCGGTAATCAGCTGGCCATCTTGGCCGTATTTAGTTTGTCCGCAGCCTTTTCCCGCATCGCCTTATGGTGCCCGCATGTTCGGTTAAATGGCTTACTCAGCGGGTCGTTCCTCTAATGCAATAGTCGTGTTTTTTTGGCCCGCTTTCTGGATTCCGGACTTTGCTCTTGGCTCGCGCTCCACTTACTGTTTACATTGGCCCGCTGCATCGGTGGCCTCGCCAGCTGAGGTGTCCTGCCAGCCAACCCATCCCAAGGACACCTCCTTTGCCTCTCGATTGTCACCTGTTGTTGGCCAAAGTGCAGAGGCCTCGGGTTGCATAACACCGCGCCTGCTTTCAGAATCGCTCAATTATCGCCGGGCAAAGTCGCCAACAAGTGCAACGTCCCAAATTATTTTTGAATGCTGTAGCAATGGATTTTCACACTAATTTTTTAAGGAAACAAAAATATTGAAAACCTAAAAAAATAAGAAAACATTTATTAAAAGTCAACGGGTGCTTTGCTTTTATTTTTTTTCTTTAAATTAAAATTGCATATTTCTTTAGTTATTGTTAGCACAATACACTTCTGATGATAATATTGATAGCTATAACTTTGGCTAAGTTCTTTAAACTGGTTTTGTGTAAAACTAAATAAACACAAAATAAGTAAAAGAAATTTAAAGCAAATATAGGAATAAATCAAATTTTACAGTTTTATATACCCCGTGAAACATTTTTGCGCTAGACTAATTTAAATAGAGATTTAATTGCATTATATATAATGGAATTTAGAAAGAATGGATCGACTTTTTTCAGGAAAACCTAAAAAAATATACAACATGGTTTTTGGACCTTTGACAATAAGGGATTGTTTTTTTTTGTGCAGTTACGGATGCACACGTTGCACTTTGCATCGAATCAGCTCTACCTTGGCCCACCCACGTCTTCGACCCCTTTCCCATCCCATTTTGCAACCCGAGGAGACAGGAGGTTCATATTCTGGTGGCAGCAGGGAGTTTCCACTGACATCTATTAATAACCCCACAATCAAAATTCGGTGGGCGGTTGAGTGTCCGATGGCAAGGAGCTCCGCCGGGATTATAGACTCTGAAAACAAACTCAATGGCAGCAGGCAATTACGGTTCAAAACAACATCAAAACAAAACAAATTGCACGTGAGCACAACGGCTCGCCAGAGATTAAAGCAGATTATCACTACAATCTTTATATCTAGCTAAATAAAATTAAAACAGAACTACTAATCTGGGTTAAACAAAAGTGAATTCGCGAACGATACAAAAACTATACCTACTATGGTATTGAAAATTTAAAAAATTCGACTCCCGGAAACCAGTTAAACAATCTGTGTTAACACTGTTTTATTTAGCAAATAACAATTTTATTAAAAATGTATAATTAGGCTTTGCTGGTTATTATCGGTTTTCTGCTGGCACCATTTCCAACTATTGGGTTGGCAAGAAAGTCATGTCGTTTTTGTCAATATTTTCAAAGATGATTTATTTATATCAGGACTTATAATTAATCAATTATATATTGGCCGTTTTGTTCGACCACTAATGACCATCTTTCGGGCAGCTGCATAATTCCGCGCTCGAAGAACTTTTGGTCTTTTCCAGCAAAGAATCGAGACAAGTGGTTTTCGACAGCCTCATCTGAGTCAAAGTTTTTACCATTCAAAGAGTTTTGAAGAGAGCGAAACAAATGGTAATCTGAAGGTGCTAAGTCCGGACTATAAGGTGGATGTGGTAGCACTTCCCAATTCAGCTCCGTTAATTTTTGCCGAGTGACCAAAGATGTGTGGGGCCTAGCGTTGTCATGGTGAAAGATTATACCCTTACGATTAGCTAGTGCCGGCTCCTTTTCTTTAATTTTTTCCGCCAAATTGAATAGCTGGCGACAGTACAAATCTGAATTGATAATTTCATTCCGTCCCAGCAGCTCAAAGTGCACTACACCCTTCCACTTCCACCAAATAGACAGCATAACTTTCCTCTGATGGATATCGGCCTTTGATGTGGCTTGGGCTGGCTCATCTTTCTTGCTCCATGATCTTTTTCGTTGGACATTATTGTAAACAACCCACTTTTCGTCGCCAGTAATGATCCGCTTCAAAAAAGGATCGTTTTTGATCCGTTGCAGCAGAGAATAGCAGATGTTGATACGCTTAGTTGGGTGAATTTCCTTTAAGTTATGCGGAACCCAAACATCGAGCTTGCTTACGCAGCCAAGTTTCTTCAAATGGTTTTCAACCGTTGTATGTGACACACTGAGCTTCTCTGACATCTCCCGCGTTGGATAATGCCGGTTTTCATCCAGCAAAGCCTGAATTTGTTCGTCAAAAACGGCCGATGGTCGACCAGAACGTGGGGCGTCTTTAACTCCAAAATCTCCAAGCCTGAATTTGGCAAACCAGCGCTGACATTGGCGATCACTCATGGCATCTTTACCATACACTTCGCACAATTTTTCGCGAGCTTCGACCGCTTTTTTTCCCTTTTGGAAGTAAAAAAGCAAAATATGCCGAAAATGATCACTTTGGTCCTCCAAGTTTAATTTGCTATAGCTTCCACAAATGTTATCGAATAATTACCAAATTTTCGTCGATAGTACCTAAGACAATAAGCTTTAAAAATATACTAAAAAGTGTGACCCTGGTGCTCGATTAGTCGTAAATAAATTAGATTAAAAACGATTACTAAAAAAAACGACATGACTTTCTTGCCAACCCAATAGAACCTTTCCCATTAAAAGACTCGATTTATCATCACTTACAAGAATTATATTTGCTTGCTTTTCCTCTTATCAAATACCACGCAAATTTACGCAAAAAAAATGAAAAAAAAAAAATACTTATACACTCGAAAATTTACGAAAAATACTAAATCTAGAAAGTCCAGTGTTTGGGGCTACAACTTCAGCTCCTCCAACTTCTTATCTTTCTCCGCCTCCTCTCTGTTTAGGCACTCCCCTTCGCCTAGAAGCGATAGTTGAGGTTGCCGCTGGAGAAGCTCACGTGGGAGACATCCGAGGACTGCTGGTAGGAGGGAGACCCCAGAACGGAGGACATGGGCACCGCCATCCCGAAACTCTGTCGGGTGGTCGGAGCCAACTGGCTGGTGGCGAACTGCTGGGCCACCGACTGCTGCTGGTCGCGGAGCACGTCCTGCTGCTGCTGCTGCAGGAAGCCCATGTGCTGCTGCGTGGAGTAGAAGTCGCCACCAGGCCCGTTCCTCAAAGCTCCAGTTCCAGCTCCTGCTCCATTTACAGATCCTGCTCCATTCACAGATCCCGGAACTCCTCCGTTGAATTGGGGCTGCGCTCGGTAGGCGAAGTGTGCTCCATCGGCGGGCGGCGGGGGAAGGTTCGGAATCTGGGCGGCGGATACATCTGGGTGGGCGTGGTAGAGCTGCTGGAGCATCTGCTGCTGGCTCTCCAGGAGCTGCCTGGTGCGATGGTAGTCGAGGACTGCCGCCTGCATCTGGTCCGCGTAGCTGGGCACCGAGTAACCCGCTGCCTGTGGAGAAGTGGCGCCAAGGAATTGCTGTTGCTGCAACTGCAACTGTTGCTGCTGCTTCTGCTGCTGCGTCAGGAGTTGTTGTTGCTGCTGCTGCTGCAGAAGAGAGGGATTCGCGGCTGTGTAAACGCTGGGATACCGCTGTCCAGGTGGAGGGAATGCTCCGAATCGAGGGGGAGCCGACTGCAAAAAGGTAGGAGAGAAGCGAGTCAATTAATAAATCTATATAATATACCAATAATCAACGCCAATAAACATATAAACAGTTTTTATTACCATTGAGGTATTGCAGAATAAATTTAGTTAATGTAAATAATCTCTAATTATTCATTATAATTTTCTATTGGATTTTTATATACACGAGTATATATTATTACATATGATTCATTTAATATTTCTTCTTTATGTCTCTTTTTTAACAAATGTAGTCTAAAGTAGGTAGTGTCTACCGTTTAAAAATGAAAATACAAATCTATAGATTTGTTTAGACTCACTGATAGGCGACGCTTTTGAGGCGTTCTGCGTTTGATCCGATTGGTCACCATTCTTTTTGCTAAAGACTACTGCCAAAAAGGAAGATAAGTGAAGTGCCAAGGAGCCAAGAACCAAAATTTCAGTTTCAAAATCAGATTTAGATTGAAATTGAAATTTTTGCGTCGAAGTTAAATCAAAATAAACCGAACTGAACCGATCGAGCGAGCAAGTGAGACTGAACATTATAGAATGACTGCTTCCCTGACACTTCCCATCCATCATTCGACCAAAAGCGGAAGCCTACTTTGATCTCTACACTTTATATAGGGTAAATGCAAACAGAAATAGCAAAAGATAGCATGGGATAATCACGCGATTTGGTGGCTTTAAAAGCGTGATTGGAAAGCCGCTGCATCGCAGTGAGAAGAGCGCGATGGATGGCAAAAGGTTGCAACTGGTGGCACTCCTGGTGGCACTGTTTCTGGCCGGGATTTCGGCCAGGCCGAAAGCGGACAATCCGCTGGAGAGCTTGGGCATGAGCGCCATGAATCTGGCCGGGAACCTGGCGGAGGCAATTCAAAGTGGCGGAGCTCTGACCCGCGATCTCAATCTGGACAATCCACTGATGTCGGTGCACTCGAAAACCGCCCTGGGTTACGGCGATGCAATGCGTCCGCCTTCGGGAGCTGATTCCTCCGAAGAGGATCGCAGGCGCAAGAGGAGGAGGAGGAGAAGGAGGAGTGGGAGGAGTGGAAGGAGCCTCCATCGCCACAGGAGAGCTCCGTGTTTTTGGAAGATGGGCGGTGCTGCCACCACAGCTGCCACCGGAGGCGATGATGAAGTGGAGGCCAGAAGGAGACGGGCTCAGAAGCGGGCAACCAACAATGCCTCGCGATCCCGAGTGAGTCCCAAGACCAGTGGCAAGAAGTCCTTGCAACGACGGAGGCGCCGCCAAGCGCCAACGGATACGGAAATCATGCAGAACTCGAACGGAAAGGATCCCCTGGGACTCGGGGACAGGATCAAGGGAATGTGGCTCGCCTTCGTGGACAATGTCTCCGAAGTGGTGCAGCAGGTGCGCCAGAAGATCTCCGATTCGGCCACTCAAACGGGTTGAAGGCTACCCCGATTCCCTGACTTCCCCAAATTCCCCAACCTCTGTGTATTTTTTTTTGGTTGTTTATAAGTGCAATAAAAGTAAATGCAAAAAAAAAAAAATACTTATTAAACTCATTTAAAACATACTTTAAATTAAGTATCTACCTTAAATGAATAAATTAAATTTACCAATTTTCAAGCCTTGAAATTATTAATACTGTGTTTTATGTGATTGTTCCAATTGGTTGTATACTGCCTATCAAAAAAAGAAATTATAAATTATAACCTAATAGAAAACATTGATCTGAACTAAATTGAACTTATTTTCAATTAATTTAGTGCTATGAAGTGGATATCTAGAAAGCAAGTGCTAAAACCATTTATTTGTTGAAGTGGTATACCATTTTAAGTTTGTTGAATTGATTTAATCAAGACACCATTGACTTTTATGCCATAAAAATAAGCACACGCTTTGAAAGGTCTGCAATTCAATAGTTAAATACCTTGAGACTAAATTGAACAATTACAACATTCGTTTGCAAATGTAGCTTAGGCTTTAATTACACTAGATAGAGGCTTGTTAAAATCTGTCATTGAAAGTAGGAAAGGGATGACCCTTGCTGTTCCTATAACTCTACTGCCACCCAATTAGAGAAGAGCAAATCAAATCAAAGGCAAGCCGCCGTATCTACGGAATGCGATCGAAAGTGGTGCTAAGTACGGCAGATGATCGGGGTCACCAGCCAGAGCAGTGCAATTATTAGCAGATGACAGATGCAGATACTGAAACGAGCCGGGTAACGATGCCAACGATGCCAATGTGGACAGCAGGTGCTTCCGGCCATATGAGATGCATCTCGACATCCGTCGAACATTTCCGTGTTTGGGCGGAATCTCGATCCAGTCGAATGGCGGAGTACAAAAGGCGCATTCAGTGGGCTCTCCACAACAGTTGGCCAAATGACTTCCGGACTCCGCTGCCCAGTTCCACTAATTGTGGCCCTGACCTTCGCCTTGGTGGCCCTCGTTTGGGCGGAGGAATTCGACGTGGAATACTCCAACGAGTACGACGATGTGCGACCCCATCTGGTTTATCCCGATGATCCCAGACTGGACAAACGAATCGGAGATGCAGCTAGGCAATTCGGACAAAACATAACCCAGGCATGGAACTCCATGGTGGAGTCCTTCAGAAGCTACTTCGAGGAGCTGAAGAACCTGTTTACGGATAACACGGATCCGAATGCAGCCAACGAGGTTTTTTCGAACCACTGACAAATGTGCTCGGTGCTTGGCAAACAAATCATATTGCAATTAGCGGAGAGATAATTTTATTTGAAGGGAATGAAAATGAATTAGCTTTTAGCTGATTGCATAGCAAAAGTGTGTTATTATTCAATATCATAAGCAATAAAATTACACCAAAATTAACCAAATGATGTGATTATAAATATCAAAACAAATTTGCTGAATCGGATTTGATTTCAGAACTTAATAGCTTTGCATGCCAGATTTTTGATAAAACAAGAGCGTGTGAATATATCTTCAATCTGTACTAAAAAAAAACGCAAAAACATATATTATTTGACTGAAGCTTAAAGCTTTAAAAGCCGATCAACTGGTCGAGCTGCAGTTATTTGTCGGTTAAACTATCGCAAGATGAATACGTCTATTTTGACCCTGAGTATTTTCCTTCTACTTTTGGGAATTACCAATGCCCGACCTCAGGTAAAATGGGTTCGGGGTTATAGAAATTATGAGTAATAGTTGATTTTCTTTTAAGGATTTGGGTACTGGAGTAATGCTGGCCGTGGGACAAATGCAGCAGTTGATGGAAACTGGCGGCGGATTGAAAAACGAGCAGAGTGTTGAGATTCTGGGCGAGCGGTTCACCGGAGGTTTAACCGTGGGCATCGGAGAGGTTATGGGAAATATTCCTATGGGAGGTGGACGTCGCTAAAGATATTTCAGAATCTAAAATGTTCTCTTCTTTTTTTTTTGTTATTATACGCGTAACGTTAATTAACATTTAACGTCAATTAAAGAAATTGCAGTGGAGTTCGTTTTTTTGTTTTTAAACACGAGGCCTTTGAAAAACCTGGTATTCCGAAAAATTGAGAATTATGTTATTAAATTTGTGGAGGGTCTTTTTTGATTATTTAGAAGTGAATTATAATCAAATAAAATTAGCTTTTTAGTGTCCGAATGAGTCTTATTGTTTTGCTTTAGGCAAGTTTTCACCATGTTAGTTGTGAGGTACAAATAAGGTAAAAAAAATAAGTGCCTCATGAGAATTTTATATTATATATTAGTGAATCTAGGTTTTCCCAATAAATGGAAATACTTATTTGGCTAAACCTTAATATACCGATTTAGTCCTAAGCATGCAAAGTAAATATATATTCAGGTACCTGGTGTTATAGTGTACATTATTATTTCCAATAAAATCAGTGGACTATATCTTATAAGTTTTATTGAAATATTCTTTTGTAACAGAAATATTGGAAATATGAGCGACTATATAGATAAGGTGCCATAAAAATACTATTTTTTAATAAGCTAATAAAAAGAAAGTATTTAAGATTTTAAATAATAGACTAGAATTCATTTGTACACTACTCAATGCGAAATTTAAGAGCTATTAATTTACAGGCATATTGAAATGTTGATTGTTGCCATTATGCAATTACCATTGCATTATTTAGCTCCACGAGGCATATTAAAGGGAACTGATTAAATATTTAAGTAAAAGGGACTGCAAAGGGCTCCTGGTTTCCCTAGGTCGATATAAATTTCCAGTAATTACTCACCAACTGCTGCGGCTCCTGTGGCTGCGGTTGCTCCACCTGCTGGCTCTCCGGCTGAGTTGCCTTGGCTGCTCCGCCGTAGAACCTGGTGAAGGTCTGCTGCAGTCCGGGAGTCTTCAGGCTGTACGAGTTCGAGTTGGCATCCGTGTGGATGGAGACCTGGGCACGACAGACCTCCTGCTGTCCGGCCAAAAGCAAGATGGCCATCGTCAAGGCCACGACGAACATGATTTGTGATTTGCTGTGTATGTATAGAACCTAATAGATGGTTGCAAATTCCAGTGTCCCGCTGATTCCGTGGAACCTTCGACTCCCCGTAACCGTTTTCTTCGTAAATTATCAGTTGAGCGGACTGGCGACTCGCGAACGGCGACAGTTGACTGTGGAGCGCCCGCCGCAAGTCCGATGGTTTTATACCGCCTCTTCGGCGGCGTTTTTGTCCAACTGCAGCGGCACTCTGCCTTTTCCCTTTCCCTCTACTGTCCACCTTGGTTTTCTTGGCCCAAACACGACGATATATGTGGCCAAAAGTGAAGCAAAACATTTTGGCAAAAGCTAGAGCCTTGAAACTATAAAAACCAAGTTACATCTTGAGTGAAATTTTTTTATATTCGATTTCGTTTGGAAATAAAAACATAGTTCGAGATGAGAAATTTATTACTAGGTTATTTTTAATTATTCATTTATTTATAACTAGGTTATACATAGCTTGCTAATGGCCCAAAAATGTTGAACAAGCTAACAACCGTGGATATAAATAAAAAAAAAAAATCACAGAGTGCAAAACTAACTACAATTTTTTTTTATTTAATTGAGATATAAGCATAAAACTAATTTTAAACCTTAAATCATTGAAAATAGTGCTACAAATGTGGCTTAATAGTAAAGCAACAAATTTTGGCAAAAGATCGTTCCTTTAAACCAAAAAAAACTAAGTAACATGTTGAAGTCGATTGTTTTTTTTAAATAATTGATTAAAAATCTATCGGATTAAAAGTTTTATAAAGTGGATTGAAATATTAATACTCTAACATTTCTATTTATTGCTAGCCGATTTTGACTATCTTCCGGCCAAACAAATCCTGCTAATATAAGCAAAATATTTTAAACAAAACCAAAAACCTATTAAAAACCTGTGCAAAATAAAGAGCCATGTTCCTAAGAGCATTGAATTGGCTTTACTCCCCCATATAGTTCAGGTTTAGTGCCATTCATGACTTTCAATTAAATATTACCAAAGTTGCCTCTTTCCATTTGAAGCTTTTACCAGACACGCCCCAAACGTTTTGCCATTATTATAATTTCCATAATTTCAATTTATATTTCGTTTTAATTCGCGCCCCTTGTTTTGTTTCACTTTGGCGGGGATAACTTTCTTTAAACTTTTCCCGATTCGCGTACGGAATATGGAATAAGCCATCGCAATATCGGCGGATGGGCGACATGTAGATGGCAATTCCGATTCCAATTCAAATTGAATATGCTCTTTGGCACTTACATAACAATTCGCCCCCGCTGGGCGAATGGCGAACTAAACATAAACACCGGCATAAAACGTTGTTTATAGGAACGTGCCGGGAATGCCTAAAATTCCCCAAAAGCGAAACTTGCAAAAGCACTGGGATACACAGAAGAAAATAAAGGGTGAGTTACTCTATCTAAATTGAGTTGTTAAATAAAAAAGTTTAACAACCAGTAAAGTTTTTTCAACTGTGAAAGTGGATGACAGTGAATGAAGGTAGTGAACTTTATTGCCACCCTTTTACTCTAATGATTTTCTCGCGGTGTAGGGATGGCATTACAAAAAAACGAAGATGCGGAAGCGGGGTTAAGGCCAGAAAATTCAGCTCAATTGGAATGCAGTTTTGATGGCCCAAAGAGATTTGGCTCGCTGCCGCTTGCCATCGATTATGAAAGCCGAAACGAAGCCAAAGACCCGGTTAGTGTGTAATGGTCACTTAAGTCCGTTGTCCGCTGTTTGCTGTCCGCTTACCTGATGCCAACGTTGCGTATACGCGATACGTGATCGTCATAAATTAATTCGCTCATTTCATTACACGGCGCGTAATTGAAAGCGCATTTCACACGATTGAAAGTTGTCTGCTGGCCGAGTATTAGACCCATAAAGTGACCCCAAACTGGGCTCCGTACGGAATAATGGCCATAACTTGTCCTTTTCCTTCTGCATTCCTATTTTCCGGAATAGGTTTTCATGTGTATTTGTGTCTATGTGTCTATGTGTGTGTGCGTGGGTATCTATGCCCACATTTGGCGCGTGTTTTCTCCATTAAAGTTGACTTTTCCGAATGAAATGCTTGTCGTTTTACGATTACCCTCCATAAGCCATCAAAATAAACAGCGCAAATTATGCAAAGAGAGAGAGAGAGAGAGAGAAGGAAAAGGAAAGAGAAAGAGGAGAAAGGGAAAGAAGAAAGGAGGAGACCCAAAAAGAGATGAACACAAATGGAGACAAACTGGAAGTGGAGCTCGCAAGTCAAGTAAATCCAGCCAGCTGCTAAATAACGCCACTTAATCATTTTACTGGGTCACAGGTCACGGGTGGACGCTTCAACCGAAACCGTATTCCGTTTTCCGTATTCCACAGTCCGTATTCCATAGTCCCTATTCCATAGTCCGCTGTCCGGAGTCCGCAATCCGGAGGCTGAGTCAGCGGCCCCGCGCTGAACTTTTGAACTCGCGCACTGACCCTATTTTTTTGACCCGACCCGTGGACCCCCTTTCCCCCAAATCCCCTTCATCCCCCTTGGGGCAAACCGAAAGGCTCCCCGCTGGCGCGTATTATTTTCGGTGCCCAGCTCTGCATTTGCACGGATTTTTATTGAGGTGCGTGCCACCCCAGGACCCAGGATCACAGAAGCACACTAAAAAAAAACTAAGCCTATTGAAAGAAAAATGAGAGATGGCCTAAAAAATTTATATATGTTCATATTATAGCAAACGCAAGCACTGAATATGAAATTATATTTATGATACTACATATTTAAGAATAAAATTACGTAGTTTACATATATGATAGTAAATCTCCTATTACTAAAAAAGGAGGAAACAAAAAAGGTTTTAAAAATGATATTGACTTCTCAGAGTCCGTAAAATTTTGTGGTATTTAGAAACATTTTTGTATTGAACAAAAAAAATTCCAAAATGTATTTTCTTAACACATTTTAAAAAGAAAACTCCTTTATACTTTAAGATTAAAAAAAAATAATTATATTATAATTTTTAAATAACAGGTTGAATTGGCATGTGCTTTAAATGTTTAAATAACATAATATAAATAATCCCGCATTTTACCAAAAATAGAGTTTATTAATATTTATAAATCTATTTTACAAACCCACTTACATCGCTTGCAGCTCAGCGAACTACATAACCGTACCGTGCAGCATTTTCTCGCTGTGTAGGCTTACCTAAGACCCATGGGATGGAGCTGAAAAAAAAGGGATTTGATGGCCTTTGCTGATGGACAACTCCCAAATAAAACGCTGTCAATGAGAGATTTGCTTTTGTGTGTGTTCAACTCACATAAAATTTGTTTTTATTAGTTTTTGCTCACACCACTGCACCACCGAACCACCGCACCACCGAACCACCACAACAAACAGCCAGCGGAGCGGCAGAGAAAAAATGAACTTATATCTAGACACACGCACGGACAGTTGCACAAATAGGGATTGGTTATATATAACTTTATATATCTAGTCGGGATCAGGATCGGGATCGGGATCTCAATCGGGATCTGAATCGGGATCGGATGCCCAACAAGTTGAATCTGTATTTTTGGAATCCTGATGATTCCGCAAAGTTTGTGTTTTTTTTTCTTAAATTCTTCGGCGCAATTCTTTGGGGCTCAGAAGAATTGCCCTGACTTACAGCTATAACTTTAATGGTTTATTCCGATTTTGTAATTGGTATTTTGAGTTTGGTTCAACATTCAATAAACTTTGCATTTGATTTGGTAATATTCAATATGTCTTAGCATATGTCTAGTGTATATATCGTACTGTATATAACCATATATGTATGTATGTAGCTTGGGAAAGTTTAAAAACACTGGCAACCTTTTTCTTTTTTTGCCGCCCATCAAAGTTAGCAAACATTTAAAAGACATATATATATATATTATATATCTAAGAGTGTTTGTGTGTGTGTGTGTGTGTGTTTGTGTTTATCATTTCCATTTTGTTGGCACAGTTTTCATTTTCAATTCTTCGATCTCTAAACTGCGATCTGTGATCCCTAAACTCTGTGATCTGCGATCAGCGATCGGTAATCAACAATCATTAGTCAACAACCAGTTGGGCGAAGTATTCCAATAACTCATTCTATATATATCTATATATATATATATGTATTTGTATTCAGTAAATCTTAAGCAATTAGTTGTAAATGTATCTGTATCTCTGCATTTGCAGAGTTGCTTACACAATTATTTAGTTTCTCTTTTCGATGAGCAACTGCCTTTTTGTTTAGACACCAATAAAAAAAAAAAAGGATATAACCCCAACCCGCGTGACCCTACGTAAAAAATACAGCTCCCTTTTGCAAATTGTCCTACTTAAACACTTAGCTCCTCAGCTGCACAACTCATCGGAAAATTCCGTAATCGTAACCGTAACCGTAAAGCTTTTCGTTTCGTTTTGTTCGCCATTACTGCAGTTTTTCTTTTTTGTTTTTTCCTCCATGGGGTTTCTCTTGTTCTTTTTTTTTTCCTACCTATTTTAAAAAAAAATACAAAAAAAAAGCCAAACATCCTTACAGTTCGGCGAAAATGTTCTCCCTGAAATCCAATTCCGGATGCGCCGAATGCGAGGAGGAGCCATGCCCGTAATCGTAGTCCCGCGACGAGGACTTCATTGAACTCCGGCCGGAGACGCCGGAACCGGAGCTGAAGCTCGCATTCCGCGGACTACTCCGCCGCATCCGTCCCTCGATTACGGCCATCTTGTTCAGCGGCTGCGTGGGATCCAGTTCGCAGAAGGCGCCGGCAATTAGATCGGTGCCGTTCAGCGAATTGAAGCTGTCCCGCTTTGAGTTCCGTCCCCCGGCCACGCCCCCGCCGCCATGCTGACCACCATGATGACCACCGGCATGGTGGTGCTGATGGTGGTGCTGGTGGTGGTGGTGACCCGAACCGGAACCGGAACTCTTGCGGCTCAACCGATTGCGACTGTATTGATACTGATAGGCGGGAACGACGGAGGCGGCGGCGGCGGCTGCGGTGGCACCATTCGGTGGCATCGAACCAGGTGGCAGATTCTGGGAGCCACCGGGTGTATAGCTATCGTAGAAGTCCGGCGGCACCACCTCCTCCTCCTCGCGCACCTCGTCCAAATGCTGGGGCGGCAACGTTTCATCCTGCGGCGGAATCCGCTCGCCAACGCTCTCCAAAGTCGAGGAGCACAGGCTGTACTCCGTGGAGAGGGATTGCGATTGCGAGAGGCTGCTCAGTGGATCGCTGCCGGGAAGGACAAGTGCCAAGGTGCCTCCATCTCCGCCCCGCTTGCCCTTCGGCGAACGCTGGGCGTAGAGCTTCTCGATGTCCGGCAATTGGCGACGTCCCTTGTCCCGCTCCCTCTCCCTTTCCCTCTCCCGCTGGAGCATCTCCTGGATGTCCATGCTGCGCTCCCGCTCCAGCTGGTCCATGATCTCCAGATCCCGGTCCAAGGTGCTCGACGAGAAGGTGCTGCTGCTGCACTCGCTGAAGGAGACGTCCTTGTGGCGGATGCTAACGCTACCCGATCCTGGCCAGCGTTGCGCCGCCGGCACCATCATGCTGCTCACCACGGAGCTCTCCTCGCCGTCGCCATAGTTACTAGTGCCACTATCATCCGGGATGAGTACTCCGTTTCCATTTCCGCTTCCGTTTCCCAATCCCGTGGCATTCAAGCTGCCGCTTCCATTGCAAAAAGTCGAGGCAGTCACATTGGACAGGCAATCGGCAGCGGAGAGTTTGCCCTGCCGCTGGCTGGGATTCGTCCTGCTGCGATTGCTGTTGTTACTGCTGCTGCCTCCGCCTCCTCCTCCTCCTCCTGGTTGCTTTCGGTGGGCATGGCCAGTGGCCGCATGACCCACACCATCGGAAATGATGTTGATCTTCACGTCGTGCTTCTTGCCGCGCACATCTTTGCCCAGATTGTTGACCACTCCAGCATCTCCTGCTCCCCGACCGCCTGCTCTTTGCCGCTCCCTCTCCCTGTCCCTTTCCCTCTCGCCCGATCTGTCCTTTCCCTGGCGATAGGGTGCTCCCGTGTAGCGATCTCCGCCCGATGAGGATCCGTGGGACGGCAAGCGCACCTCTCGCTCGTGACCTCGCAACTTGGAGGCCTGCTTGTGCGAATCGGCGGGTTGGTGGCCACTCGTGGCATTCGAGGCCTCGTCCTTCTCGATGGAATCCTCCCGGGAACTGCCACCTCCTCCGGATCCTCCGCCGGCATCGCTGCGCCGCTGCGACTTGGATTTGCGCTTCGAGGAGAGCCGGAAGTAGCCCCTCAGTCGCTCGCGTTCCTCTCTAAAAGGTAGAGAAAAATCAAAGGTATGCAGGATAAAGAAATTGTGAGGCAAATATAATGCATGAAATGTTTTATGTTTACTTTAAATTTTTAAGATGAGAATACTTCACCACACTTTAAATATGTTAAGCCTCATTTCGAAAATGTCATTATTATAATGAAGAATAAGAGCAAGTGAAAAAGGAATTGACTGTAATTAGATTTATGTAGGTATCTAATATCCGATATCCATTGTCACATTTTAAGGGCGGGTGCTTCCCCTGCAGAATTTATATTATATTTTGACATAAGCACGTTAGGTCACTTAGCCTTTTTCTTTAATTTATAATTTTAAAAAAATTTTTTACTTGCATTTTATTATTAAATATTGAGTTGATTTGGAATTTGCTTCAATTAAAATGAAATGATGGTATTTGGTTTTCAGAATCTGCCAATTTGGATTTCCAAATGGTATTTGTATTTTAAATATTCCTACCCTTCGCACGTTTCTTTTATACATTCGTTATTGTCATATGATTATAATGACAAATTGTTTCCTTTATTAATAATATACAATAATATTAAAGAACTGAATCAAGTTCTAAATTCCATTAAAGATTTAAGTTCTAAAATGTTTATACTCTCGTTATCCTAAACTCTTAACTGGTTCCCTTTTTTTAGGCCTTACTTACCTTGGTAAAATCTGCGATGCGTAGATGCAGGGAAAGATGACAGTGGGCAAAAATGCCATCCACACGAACATTAAGTAGGTGAAGTCGAAGTGCTTGGTGTTCTCGTAGGTCTCCTCCAGGGAGAGCCTGGCGAACCGGAGGATCATCAGGGGGCACATGCAGACCACCTGGGTGGCGGCCATGCTCCCAAAGTTCCGTTGCTTCCGCTTCTCCCGATGGACGTCCAGCTCGGCGCTGTACAAGTCGTAGGAGCGGGCCGAATTACCGCCCCCATTGCTCAGTCCTGCCACGCCCCCGCCGCTCAGCGTTCGCGGCTCCACCGATGAAGTGGATGAGTTCCTACAAAGGTAATTCGATTTCATAATATATTTTAAGCCACATAAATATGAAATATGAGAAAGAAATATGAAATAAATAAAACACATTTCCCAACTACAAAACTAATTCCCAATTGATTCCCAATTTAAGCCTTCAAAATGTTTGTTTTAGCCAATTATGCAAATAAAATTTAAATTCGAAATTTGATATGTTCTTAAGCCAAAAAATGATGCGGATCGTTTTTACATTTTTATTTGTTTGTATTGATTTGGTATTTAAAATTTAAAAAAACGACAAGAAAAGTGTGTGTATTTTTCTAAATTTCCATGGTTTTGGTTTTTTGCCAAGACAACAAAATTTATTGTCATCAAGTCAGGCATATCAGCCTGAAAAACCTAAGTTTTCAAACATTAACCCACAAAGCAGTTCGTTGCGAGTTCTATAATTTTGATAAAGCATTCAAAGTTTACACATTTTTATAAACTCCAAACATTTTCAAAGTTCATTAACTTCTCAATCAAACTGGTAAAAAATGGTAGCAAAGATTCTTGAAGTCCAATAAAAAGGGCGGAAAAGTAACTTAAGAAATTAAAACTCGTTAGGGAACAGACGCCAAAGGAACGATGGCTCATTAGCGGCGGCCAAGGGGTTGAGATGCTCCGCCGGTTGAATGATGGCGCATCGGGTTACTTGGACAGCTCAAGCTGATTGGTAAATCACCGAATTAATCAGCCCAATTAGCAGACAGGCAGCCAGCCAGCCAGCCAGCCAGGCAGCTTAATATTTCATCTAAATCACGGCGGGAAACTCACCTCTGCCGCATTCGAACATCCGCGCGATGCTCGTACATCATGACGGCGAATGGTCCGTCGGGCGGACGGAGCTCCTGGGAGGTGCGGATGTACAGGTAGGACAGCAGGATGGCCGGACCGCAGTACCTGCAAATCGAAACGGGGTCAGCCACTTACGCCATCACCGGAAGTCCTTTTTCCGGATGCCACCACACTCACATTAGCAGGAAGAGACCGCGAGTGTACTCCTGCATGTCGTCCATCAGGTTCACCACGCACAATCCGATTCCCGAGAGCTGCGGCATATAGTCCTGAAATAATATAAATATAAAAAAATTATAAATTAAAAAAGTTCCTTAACTTAGAAATCTTTCGATGTTAAGTAATACAAATCAACAACAGGAAAAATGGTTTTATTTTTCGCATCCCTAATAAAACTGCATTCAAAATTTTTCATTTCATGTAAGGTTTTTCCAAGGTTTTGATGGTTTCCGGCATACCTAGTAATTTTAATCCAATTTGAAAGTGGCATATCTTTAAACCTTTCTGATGAAATTCCAAAGCGTTCTTTGTTTAACTTTTTTGGCGATAATATACAAAAAAATTAATAGAAAACTCGTCATATCTTCGATGTTGTTTGGCACAATTTTTTCGAAATTGATGATGACTGCAGGGGAATAGACATCGGATTCGCAAAGCTAGTGTTTTTTTGTGTATTATTTTAAACCACTTATTCATAGTTCCTTTGCTGTCCTATTTTTGACCCAAATACTTAAGCGAGGAGCATAACAATCGCATCTACTAAATAATTGATTTGATTTTTCAGTCTTTGAAGAAGCCGTTTAGCCAACAATCGTTTTACATTTTTAAAATCGGGGTTAGCAGAGCAACTTAGCCAGAGTTCATTGACTGACATTTGGGATCGATGGTTGGTATTTCCAGTGGTCGAACTATCCCATTGATTTTATAATTACACCCTGGGGCTTTTGGGTGGGAAAAACAAGGGGATGTTCGTAAAAAAGTCGAATGGGGCATGCCCCCTAATGTCGAATGTCTAATGTCTGCTTCGGTCATTCGATTGCCATGCTAAAAGCTTCGATTGAGTCAACTTGTCTGCCAATTCAGGTGTACGTAACACCGTCAACAATCGCGCCTCCAGAGCGACCTCGACTTTGGCCCTGACCTCGGTGAGTTTACATGCCACTTGCCACTTGCCACATGCCACATGCCGCATGCCGCACACTCCTCTGTTACCCGGAATCGCTGAGATTGCGTCGTAATTGTAATTACACATGAATTCGCGCGTAGCGAAAAGTTTTTCGGATAGCGAAGGAAATTAAACAAAGGGCGGAAATGAATTTATGGCCGCATCCAAGTTATTTTCTCATTAAACAGCTCCGCAGGATGGCAGCTGTGTATCTGTGTATCTCAGGTGGCCGGACAAACCGGATATCCTTGGCCAAGTGGGCTTAAATCCTGACCAAGGGAAGACTCCACCTTGGCTTTCATCAATCATGCGAATCATCGGTCAGCCAACCAGGTGCGATTCAAAGAGAAGAAACCCGCTTTTGTGTGGTGCTGCATAATTATTCCGCTGAAAGAGTTGGCCAAACAAACTCGGGAAACTCTCGTCGAAGTTTCCTTATTTTCTGTAGCTTTTTTCCACCCCCTCCCTCTTTTTACTTGGCATATAATTTAGAATGTTACACACATGGAGGAAGAAGCTGAAGGGCACTCGTAACTGATTTTGTATGAATAACTATTAAAAAGTTTGCGATCCCCTCGACAGCAGGCGTCGCCCAGCCACGCCCACAAATCCGCCCCCCTCGAAGGCGGTTGAAACTTGGTCCCAAACTTTTAAATCAAATCTCGAACTAAAGTTGAAGGGGCGGGGGAGATTCTGCCGGGGAAAAGTTTTTCATTCGACGAGTGCCCGAAATTGTAATGAAACCGTTCACAAGCAAATCGCGCCGCGCCCGCTCCTTTTGGCCCACAGTCATTTGGGTAATGAACTGTTAGCGCTGTACAATCTGGCCAACAAATCTGTTTTGAATACTTTGCCCACTGCGCACAGTCAAATGCAAATAAACGACAACAGTCGTCAAGGGGTGCGGGAGGGGGGCAAATGGGGTACTGAGGTGGGTGCACTCGAAGAAAAAAGAAAGTCCGTGGAACTCCCATTGCGGAAATGGAGGAATAATTAAGGATACAAAGGGGAGTTTTTATTTATTAATAATTTAATTACTGTCTCTCGATTTAATTGTTAACTTCTTGAATTAAAATTTGTATAAAACCCATTTCACATCAAGTTTATAAACAAAAAAATTTTACATCCATAAATGACTGTAAAACAAATATAAGTAACTACTGTAAAATAAATACAATAAATGGAGTTTAAAAAAATAATGTACTTTAAGTACTTTTCAATTGTAAAATATTTTTTAAAAGATTTTTAATCGAATGAACTTGTTAAGCTATTTTTTGGTCAGTTGAGAGAATAAACTAAAGAATATATTTTTATTTTTAAATAATTTTTACTATTTATTTTAAAACCAAAGCAATGGATTCAAGCACTTAATAAACATAAAATATGTCCTACTTTTATAACCCAAAAGTTTTTAAGCTTTGTATTTATTTATTCTTTTTATATTTAGTGCATCCTTAGTTATTGTTTTTTATATCCCCAGATTTGCTAATATCTGCATATATCTGCATATACACATACATTCTTTTTAAAAATTCAAAGAATACAATATTTCCATTGTAATTATCGAATGTTAATGGCCAAATGGCGAAGATTTCTTGTCAATATTTTTCAGTTATGGTAATTGGAAAACTTTTTAATGAGTTTCAAGTTGGGACGACGAGCGAAGCCGTCTTGTTTTTCTTCCTGTGCACTGCTGTGGGAAACCGCTTTGCAGGGGGGAAAGGGGACGGGGAAAAGGGGGAGTGGGAGGGGGAAAAAAATCAGGGGGCGACCGGAAGCTGCACGCAATTTAACGAGTCCTGAGGGCGTCTTGCGAAGGATTCCCAGGATGGATACGGTTATGGGCGAAACGGCCTTGACGTTTGCCAGCTCCTTCTGGATGCGGCGTTCTCATTTCGGCGATTTGTGGTGTGTCGTCCTTGCCTGATTTTATGGACATCCTTCGCCCGTGCTCATCATCTCCTGCCTCGTTTCCGCTTTATGGACGCCAAAGGAAGCCGAAAAGGATACCTTCTTCTGCACAGCTCCCTCTCTCTCAAATTATGATTACCTCTGGCAGGGGGTAATGCAATTGATTTTGATTCGTGCTGGGCACAAATCAATTTGAGCGCTGGCCGTAAACACTTTATGGCTGGAAGATGCCGGCCCAGACTTGTTGGCCAACAAGTGGCCGGCCCATTAAATTGGCTCGCATTATTGGGGCTTTCGCCCCCGCATAAAGATATTTACAATTTGGCGCGCGCGTTGCAAAATAATTTATCGATTCAATTGGATGGCAAAGGGGGACTTGGATTCTCGGATTCCCGGTAACCAGTGGCAAAACTTCCACATTAATAACAATTTATTTCCGTCTTGCCAGCACAGAAAGCAGAAAGCCACATTCCACAGACTCCTGGCCCACAAAACAAATTGCAACCGACGGAGCCTGCAGAAGTATTATCATTCCCACTGTCGCAGTTTTGACTTTGACGAATTGCTGCTCGAGTGTAAAAAAAAAAAAAAAAAAAAAAACAAAAAGCGGAAAACAAGAAATAGGTCTTGGGTTTTTGACTGAGACTCTGGTTATTGGATGATGGCGAGCTGGAAATGAAAAGCACTTAATAATAATTTACAAGCGGCAAATGCTGGAAAAGCGAGAAGAAGTTGGCCCAAAAATAGAGACGGATATTGATCCGGGAAAATCAGGAAAAACAACACGAGCAGATGGAACTATTTTCCACCAGCTTCGGTAGCCTTGGAGCTCAAGTTTTCCGTTCACTTCCACCTGTTGGGTAAGTTTTTTTTTCTTCATTCTCCCTCACTTTATTGTTTGGCCCTCATGCGATTGGAAAAATTTCTTTGAAATTTGATGTCCTTGGCTTTTTTTTTTTTGCAGATACCCACGCAGGGAAAATGAAACATAACAATCGTGAGCAGGGCGATGGAAAAAATTGAGAAAAACTCTCAATTGTCTGCCTCAGATGTTGGCATTATTTACATATATTTATCAAAGCGATAATTGAATCGAAACGTTGCCCCTCACACACGTCTTAATTAAAAGAAAACAGCTGAAGGGAAGGGGAAAACCGGGGAGGAAAAATTGCGTTTAAAACGGCGCAAGGGGAATGCTTACCTACCAATAATCTGAGTTTCAAATTGTCGAAAAATTGCTCCTAATGGATGGCGGAAAAGCGGAAAAGCAGAAGGAGCGGAAGAGACAATGCATAATTAAAAGCAGAATTTCGTAATTTAAATAATAAGAAAACAATGAACAGACAAAGTGGAATGGGTGAGGGATTATAATGTAAACAGTGGAGGGCAGAGCCCAAAGGTTAGGCCTTTTTTAAAGGGGGGCTTACAAGAAAATGGGGAAAGGGCAGTGAGGGGAAGGGAGGGGGAGTCCCAAAAAGACACTGCCGGACTTAATGGCCGTAAAATGCTGGCCAAGCGACCAGACGAGGTCACTGTAAAAACACACATTGAGTGGGCTGACCAAAAACCGTACCGGGATCAAGACCCGGCGACCACGACGGACACGGACAACGGACAACGGACAGCCATACGGACAGGGACACCGACAGGGAAAAGGACATGGACAGAGAAAGGGACAGAGAAGGATACCCGGACCCGGCATGTGTTGCGCTCTGCGAGCTTACGATAATAACACAATTATGTACTTACATAATTAAAGTCGTAAAGTGCGCAAAAACCCGCAGCAACAAGAGCTTACATACACAACACACATTTCCTATGCACTGAACAACCAAATGAGGGGAAGGAATTTTTTATAAAGTGTTTGCAGTTGTTTGAGAAAAGAAAATAAAATGATTGTAGTTCATGGTGCTAGTTTTCTGATTCGCTTGCTTTGCACTTTTTATTAATCTTAATTTTGAATATTTGCCTGTTTTGCAGGACAATTATTATACCTTTTTTTATTATTCTATTTTTTATATATTTTTTATATAAATGCAATCACGGCGCAATGGCGCAATTTAAAAAGGATTTAATCTGAATTTAAAACACTTTTTCTCCGTGCATTGCCACAAGGATATGGGCAGTGTTTCAGACTTTGGTTTTGATTTTGCCCAAGCAGCGCAGGTTAGTCCCTCGTTTTTTTATTTTGTT